AGACCAGTAATTTTCATACATTTACATGCCAGAGGAAATTGTGTGTAATGGGAAGTTTTTATCAAATTTTATCAAAAGTTTTTTTTTTATCAAAACTTCCCCGTAGTTCCACCAAAACTTCCTCATATTTACAAGCTTTAGGGCTCCTGTAAAAGAACCTGTTTGTATGTTTACAACAATCATGTTAAACAAGTTTTGAAACACAGAGATCCATTACTGTCGTGAATACAGCCAAACCTGCACCAGCAGGGGCATAGCATCTGGGTGAGCAGGGTATGTATGTGGATATGGGCCCAGGCAGATATAGGAACCCGCATTCATAAAGCTATGACATCGTTCACTTCATTGCCTGTATGGCTCAAAGCTTGCTCAGTTGCCCAAGCAGCCTCATAATGTCCCTTAAAATTCAGTGATTAATATTCATTGACTCTGGTTTACGCTCATTGTTTTATTAAATATATTAGGTAAATTGCTCAATTGACCGTTTTTGGGGGGTTTACCATTGTGGTCAAATGTTGAGTGTGTGCTTGGATTGAGGGTCTGCTAACATTCTTGCTTTAATAATAATAATATTATTGTTATAGGAATGCCCTTAAATGGCAGTAAAATTTCAAACAAGCAAACAGTGTCTGTGCTGTAGAGAGTTAAAAAAATATGAGTGCACAAATAATGAAAGAACCAATTAAAGCCTCTGATAGTTTGGGTCTGATCTTAACATTTTTACAATCTCAAATCATCAACATAATAAGGAATAAGGAGCACATCAAGCAATGAAGCAGGTCAGATGATTGTAGAATGGCAACACTTAAGTAAGACTTCATTTTCAATAGGACGCATAACAGGATTTTGCTAATTTTAGTCAGTGCTTAGCACTAAATTGAAGAGTAATTATTCTTTATTTTGTACATGAATATACCTTGTGCATTTGTGTATTTATAACAGGTGTATACCAGTGAATATACCAGGTGTATTTGAAGCTTCTGAAACAGTTTTTATAGATGTGTCCTGTTATGCACGTCTGGTTTTGAGACGTGCATAAAATAAAAGATAAATCATTAAAATCAAATTTGAGACGTGCATAACATAAAAGATAAATCATTAAAATATAATACCATCTGTACTAGTTTGCATAAAACTTTAAAATGTTTTTAAAGAACAACGTTATTTCTCAACGCTTTTTGAAGTGAGCCTCATTAGGGTCAAAATATGGGATAGTCTCCTTAATAGAAGTATGTAATTCCTAAAAAAAACAATTACATGCAAATTTACACATTCACATCTAACCAGTTTTCTTAAAATAAAGAAGAATGAGATATGCTCATCATATATTCTAATTACCATTTATTCGCCATAGCAACAAAGACTTTTATTTTATGAGTGTCCATTTCAACATTAACAAACACATTGGTTCCAATTGCATCATTATGTACAGTACACATCATTCACATAATTGTCCACATTAAATAAGTTCTTATACTCAAATATTATCTTACATTCATACAGTATCAGGCATTTCCCAAAAGCATCTTTTGCTAATTATGGTCGCAAGTTTCAAAGAACTCTATTGGTAACGACAGAATTGCGGCCATAGTTGTTTTGGGAAACACACCCCTGAAAGTACCAGATGTTATCTTATATTTCTTCTTTTATATCTTTATATTTCTTGTCTTATCTTTTAGTAATGAAGCAATATCTAAAGGATTGTGAAAATGAGGTTTGTGTATGATAGGAGGTATCATGAAGGATGTCATAAAGATAAATTCTTCATTATTACTCCCCTTGCAGTCACAACGATGACCTGTAATATGCATAATTATTGATCAAGTGACTGAGTTTAACAAGTGAGTTTAAGTAGAAATCTACCATCATTACTGAGGTACTAGGATTCTCCCTGTCAAAAAAAAAAAAAGATTGTCAAGTTACATGCATGTACAGGGATGATATACACAGATTATTATCATTCTGAATTATTCTCATTTTCTCTGACCTGTTGATTTCTTCTTGTAGTAAATGAGTCCAGCAGCTGAGATGATGATTCCCAGCACCAGACCAAAGGCTCCAATAGCAATTTTATTCCTCTCAGACTCAGGGAGAGATGGATCTGTGGAGTATGTCATATCATATGTCAAAGTATGCTTACCACAAACACAGTTATAATATGACATCTGTTGAGTGTCTCATCTTACCCCAGTCATAAATCATGGGTTTACTGAAGCTGGCATGCTCAACCATACATGAGATCTGCTCTCCATATTTGGGGCTGTACTCCAGCTCAGAGTGAATCTGGTAGTACCAGTCCCCATCAGCCATCTCCATAGTGGAGGTCACTTCAGAGGTCATCAGTTTACCATCTCTCAGCCAGGACACTTTGATGTGTGGAGGATAAAATTCATGTGCGCTGAACATCAACACTCATATGCGCTGAACATCAACACAGCTGGATGTCTGCCACCAGCCCGCGACACTGAACTGAGCTTAACCTTTGGTTTCACTGAATCAAGAAGAGCAACATCCTAAATACACAGTTTCATGTTGTGTGTGTGTGGTTCAGGCATACCCTATGTTATGGGGACAAAATGTCCCCACAGAGATGGCAATATCTGAAATCATTCTCCTTGTGGGGACATCTGTTG